AATCTGGCACTTACTCACTCACCCTCCCTCACCCATCTCTTCCTCTCTCTCTCTCTCTCTCTCTCTCTCTCTCTCTCTCTCTCTCTCTCTCTCTCTCTCTCTCTCTCTCTCTCTCTCTCTCTCTCTCTCTCTCTCTCTCTCTCTCTCTCTCTCTCTCTCTCTCTCTCTCTCTCTCTCTCTCTCTCTCTCTCTCTCTCTCTCTCTCTCTCTCTCTCTCCATCATTGTCTGGCTCTCAGGTTCTCACTCTTCACACACAGTCTTTCTTCTCTCCCTTTCCTCCATGGTGCGTGATATGTGCGCACTGATCCCGGGACCATTAGTCGGGGGAGCGCACTTCACCTCACCGGCACAGCTCAATAGCACCTACACGCCCGTTGTAGTCCCCTATGTTCTCTTGATGTTGTTGTTGCTGTTGTTGTTCTCTTCCATTCTATGTAGCCTAGGCATGTGCACTTTCATTAAAAAAAGAAGAAAAAAAGAGAGAGGGCACTATTCAAGAGAGGGCATGATTGTTTCAATGCTACCTCCTCCAGCATGGAAACAAAGAGGTCAAAGAAAAACAGAGAATACAGTTCACTGTAAGCTATCACGACTTCGCAGAATCGACAACAAGAACTGCAATTTTGATGTCACTTCCATCAGAGGAATACCGTGACAAGCCGCACGTCGTGCAAAACAATGGTTTTAATTAAAGTAGCATTCCATATTATTGTGTTACAAGCAAGACAGAAAGTGATCGATAGATGGCAAAGAGGCGAGACAAACGTAATGCGAGATCTGTGAAGTGAGAAAAGCAAACCGTGAACATGCGAAAGCCATCTTCGTGCAGTCGCAAGCTTCTTTTGCTTACACGATTATTATTCCACTGATGAAAGTGACATGAAAATACATGTAGATTCTGGGAAACCTTTGTGAGTTTCAATAGAGAGCAGGCTTGTACATATAACAGTTACATGTACAAACGAGTGCAGAGCTTCAGGAACCTGACATGCCATGCACGCGACACAGTCATCGTACACTTCCGGAAACATGGAGTGAGGTAACAAAAATAAGGAAACACAACAGACTTCTGTCGATCACCATCAGTTACATCAAACTCATCAACTATTTGTACATTACATGTACATGTACCACCTCGCCATCCATGTTATCCTTCGACTCATCTTCCGCGTCATCTTCCTCCTCAACGCTTGTCACGTCTCCCAGTCCATGTTCATTCGACGCAGTTGGTTGACTCACCCTTCTTGCACACTCCATAAAATACCAATACGCCCCACAAGGGCCACAACACATACGCATGCTCAACACCCCCGCTCAAGTAAGTTAAGCCCCAGTATAGTCTTCGACACACACGCACTTGGCACCTACCACCCACCAGAACCGACCGCTGTAAAGACTCCCCACTGCACAAGTCGTCCTCTCTCTACTCACTGCTTGATTAACTCAATCTGCTCCTACAGCGCTCACCCTCTCCCATACTTGTAAAATTCAAGCTGATGTAAATTACTGTCCAACAGCATAACCCAAGCCTCACCCACAGCATCCTCCCTTCTCATAAACGCATCTCTTATTGGCGATGGTGCCATCGTGAGAATGAAGAATTCAAAAAACAACAACAACAACAACAACAACAACAACAACAACAACAACAACAACAACAACAACAACAACAACAACAACAACAACAACAACAACAACAACAACAACAACAACAACAACAACAACAACAACAACAACAACAACAACAACAACAACAACAACAACAACAACAACAACAACAACAACAACAACAACAACAACAACAACAACAACAACAACAACAACAACAACAACAACAACAACAACAACAACAACAACAACAACAACAACAACAACAACAACAACAACAACAACAACAACAACAACAACAACAACAACAACAACAACAACAACAACAACAACAACAACAACAACAACAACAACAACAACAACAACAACAACAACAACAACAACAACAACAACAACAACAGCAACAACGAGTATTTCTTTCCATTGAGTTACACGTCCATCTCATGCTCATGCTCATGTACCGGGTATCAGGACCTCCACCCGACGTACCGGGTATCAGGAGTCAGGACCTCCACCCGACGTACCGGGTATCAGGACCTCCACCCGACGTACTGGGTATCAGGACCTCCACCCGACGTACCGGGTATCAGGACCTCCACCCGACGTACCGGGTATCAGGAGTCAGGACCTCCACCCGACGTACCGGGTATCAGGACCTCCACCCGACGTACCGGGTATCAGGACCTCCACCCGACGTACCGGGTATCAGGACCTCCACCCGACGTACCGGGTATCAGGACCTCCACCCGACGTACCGGGTATCAGGAGTCAGGACCTCCACCCGACTTACCGGGTATCAGGACCTCCACCCGACGTACCGGGTATCAGGACCTCCACCCGACGTACCGGGTATCAGGACCTCCACCCGACGTACCGGGTATCAGGACCTCCACCCGACGTACCGGGTATCAGGAGTCAGGACCTGAACCCGACGCGAAGCACCAAACAAAGGAAGGATTACTATATGGCGTACTTCTAAAGGTGAGGTTACAGGCAGATGTACATGCCCGTGGTTACGGTTCAGCGGATAATGCTCCGAAAATGATTGTTTAATGGTTATCATAATGCTCCAAAAACTGCCTCATAATGCTGAACATACATAATGCTGATCATACATGATGCTGAACATACATGATGCTTCAGCGAGGGCTCTAATGCTCTTGATTCTGGTAAAAATGGAAAAAGGCGGTATATATTCAATCTGCCGCTGAAGCGTCCGAAATGATCTCCCACCAACTCCACCACTGATTAGCACTATAAGACATAATCGATTCTCCAGTGGCTGCTCTCCATTGAAACTTTGATGCAGGGTTATGGCTGAATTGTGGGTGCATCAAATCCTTTCTCAATACAGTGTATTATCCAGGGAAAGAGAAGTGTAAACCATGCCATGGATCATTGGGATGAAGTTTATCATGGCATCCAGCTCATCCATCAAATTATACCTAGGGTTCCCTGTAAAAAGGCGCTGACGCCTGTTGGGAATTCCGTAAAAAAAGAATAAATAATAATAATTTAAAACTCGGGTATTGAGCGAATAATAAAAGTAGAAAGGAAAAGGACATTTGACCCACCCAAGTTGGGTGGTGTGCTGCTTTGCTGCTTCGAATTGTAGTTAGACCGCTTTGTCAAATCGCCTACTGGTCTCGTCATCGTCCAGTGACAATCGACATTCTTTGTTCCGTTGGCACTGTAGCTTGTGCTCGTTTTCGTTGCGCTTGCCTTCCCCTCTTTGGTCTTTCCATAACCTTGAACCTTCCAAGTTGGAAGGCTGTCGGTTAGCGCTACGGAGATGTGTTGAAGCTAGGTGTCAGGACGTCGAATGTCTCAGTACTCTGTCAGTTTTGTGCCTAGTTGTTGCACTTTCTGACTGTATATAGTTACAGTGGTGGAGAGTTACTCTTAACTCGTTTCCATAATTATGTCCTTTTCCTTTCTACTTTTATTATTGGCTCAATACCCGAGTTTCAAATTGCACACCTGATGAGCCGTCACGAACCATACGGCGAAACGTACGTCGTGTGAAACAACTTGTTTTGTAGTCAACTAGTCCATCACAATGTCATGCATGAGGAGTACTGTAGGAGTTTAGATTTCGGCTTGTACAATTCGTTCTCGCAAGGCTTCCCCCTTCTTTTAAACTTATCTTTGATATTTTTGACCCACCCAAGTTGGGTGGTGTGCTGCTTTGCTGCTTCGAATTGTAGTTAGACCACTTTGTCAAATCGCCTACTGGTCTCGTCATCGTCCAGTGACAATCGACATTCTTTGTTCCGTTGGGACTGTAGCTTGTGCTCGTTTTCGTTGCGCTTGCCTTCCCCTCTTTGGTCTTTCCGTAACCTTGAACCTTCCAAGTTGGAAGGCTGTCGGTTAGCGCTACGGAGATGTGTTGAAGCTAGGTGTCAGGACGTCGAATGTTTCAGTACTCTGTCAGTTTTGTGCCTAGTTGTTGCACTTTCTGACTGTATCTAGTATCTAGTTACAGTGGTGGAGAGTTACTCTTAACTCGTTTCCATATGTCCTTTTCCTTTCTACTTTTAAATAATAATAAATAATAATAATCATGGCAACTGGTAGCCTGCATGCAAACGAGCTGTCACTGCATTGGCTCTGTGAATAATCTCTCCATCCGAGACAGGGGGCAGTAGGCAAGTTCCTGCAAGCCGATCTCGGATCGAGATCCCTTCCATTTCGCAGTGAGCCTGAAAAAAATGTGGCCAGATTATGTTGCTGCACTACTTCCTTTTGCTTGTGCAGTCTTCTTCTCCTTGTGCTAAGTTGTGGTGTTGCGTGGACAAATGGTCGGCCACAAGAATATTCTTCTTTGGTGATAGACTGATAGCACTTGACTGCTATCTTGAGTACAGCTGTCCAAATCTAACTGTACATGTTTCAGGCTCTGCTGCAGAATGTTCATATCGACTTGGTGCTGAATCCATGAGTAACTGTAGATATTTTCGAAGGCAGTTCGTCGGAACTACGTGCATGTATATGCATATACATCTCTTCCAGCTTACATCTTCTGCTTCATCCTGGTCCAAACTTATCAAAGGAGCGGCGTCTACTTCAGTATCGCTACTAGCCTAGAGACCTTATCGTCAGAGTCTAAGGCACAACGAGAAATCTACTCTTCGACTGTTCGACATTCATTTCGCGCCTCTTCCATGGCTTTTTGTTTTGTTTTCGACAAAACATTTTCCTCCTTGTACATGCTTTTTTTTAAAGGATTTGTTCCATTTCTTTGGTTGGGCACACGTACGTTGACCTGACTACATTGCAACATCAGTGCTTAGCTGAAACGTGTTACGTGTCTACAAGTAGTACCTCATGAGTGTAGCCGGTTGTTGTAAAGAAGCTGGGATTTCCTGAAATTTCAAATACCGCTCGAATCTCACAAAATGCTCATTTTCTTCCTTTCTAATGCTCCATAATCACTGATAATGCCCCGATGCTCGGATAGTCTCATAATGCCGAATGTAATGTCGAATGTAATGCCGAATGTAATGTCGAATGTAATGCCGAATGTAATGCCGAATGTAATGCCGAATGTAATGCCGAATGTAATGCCGAATGTAATGCCGAATGTAATGCCGAATGTAATGCCGAATGTAATGCCGAATGTAATGCCGAATGTAATGCCGAATGTAATGCCGAATGTAATGCCGAATGTAATGCCGAATGTAATGCCGAATGTAATGCCGAATGTAATGCCGAATGTAATGCCGAATGTAATGCCGAATGTAATGCCGAATGTAATGCCGAATGTAATGCCGAATGTAATGCCGAATGTAATGCCGAATGTAATGCCGAATGTAATGCCGAATGTAATGCCGAATGTAATGCCGAATGTAATGCCGAATGTAATGCCGAATGTAATGCCGAATGTAATGCCGAATGTAATGCCGAATGTAATGCCGAATGTAATGCCGAATGTAATGCCGAATGTAATGCCGAATGTAATGCCGAATGTAATGCCGAATGTAATGCCGAATGTAATGCCGAATGTAATGCCGAATGTAATGCCGAATGTAATGCCGAATGTAATGCCGAATGTAATGCCGAATGTAATGCCGAATGTAATGCCGAATGTAATGCCGAATGTAATGCCGAATGTAATGCCGGCGTTATCCACTGGACCCTATACATGTACGTGGTCTTGAACGCGCCGGAAGAAACCTTGTACGTGATTGTATTCGGAGGGTGTATGCTTAAATGATGTAAAATAGGCTGTTTACAAGCTATGCTCTGTCGTTTTGGTGCCAAGTGCTGAACACCCTTTGACCCCCCCCCCCGCCCCCGCTCACAGTCGTCACCAGGGACTAACACAATAAACACCATAACTCAGTGGTTAGAGCATCGCTGGCCTCAAGCAAGGGTCCCTGGTTCGAGTCCTGGTGGTGACAGTCGTTTTTTCTTCTTCAGACTTTTCCCGTTTGCGTCTTTCCCTCAAACCAGTGAATAACACAATAAAATTTATAATACGAAGTAGTGGTTGCAAACCCTTTTCTTACAAAATTTATAATGATAATAATAACTTTATTAGGATGACCCAAAGGCAAATCACCTATCGAGGGGTTCACTGCATTGAATGGTTGTGGTATGACAAAGCAAAGAGGCAACCATTGTGTGTGTGTGTGGGCGGGGGCGGGGGCGGGGGCGGGGGGGGGGGGGGGGATAGTTGTGGTACTCTGCTATACTAACTAGGCCCTGAATACGAGTAGCATGCAAACACTGTATTGACAGTCTCTGCTCTTAGTCTAGGATTGAGGGTGAACAGGATATTGAGCGGCTTGAGCGGCTTCACACCTATCACACAATGCAATGACCATACGGGACAGCTATGTTGGTTCCAGCTCCACTCAACGTGTTGTGTATCGTGTCGGAGAAAGGTCTTCTGGGGTGTCGTCGAGATCTCGTTGCGACCGTGACTCCTGCTTGTCTCCCTGGCTAGGTGCTGCTTGCTTTGCTTTTTTGCGTAGTGTTTTTGATTATTGTTTACTATTGCGTATTGTTAGTGTTCGTTGTGATTTGGTACAGTACTTGTTACGAGATACGACACATTGTGTAGTGTGTGTTTGCAGCACGAAGAAGACTGCTCACCAGAACGGTTAGCTCAGGAGCTTGGGCTTACCTTGTGCAATCACAGTTCATCAGCTTGGACATTGCGCTTGGTCCCATGCGAATAACCGACCAGAATAGTAATTATTTCTTCGTTGCATTTTTGAATTGTGTTCTTGCTAGCTCGTTGATTTATTTAGTTGATGTGTTGATTTGTGTTTGATTACTTATTTATTTGATGCGCGATTTATGTGCGCTGATTGCGTGATGGCATGCAATTATGATCGTGCTTGCGTCAGCTAGCTAGATGCCTGCGCCGCGCACTGATGTTGAATGAGTTAGCATGCGCCCCGCGCTGTTCATGCATATATGGTACATGGTGTGTAATGTTTGCCGCATACGCGTATAGAGGACTTTCCATTACATCACCTTTTTGGCGCCTTCCCGGTGTCCACCCAAAGATCACCCATAAGACAAGCCCGTGTCCTACGGTAAAATGTGTTTGGGTGGCAAAAAGAGAATCAAATGTGTTGTTCGGTGTACGGTTGAAAATGATGTTGCAGGCCGTCGCAGTGGTGAAGCACTTTTGCTTTTCTTTGATGTGGTGAATAGTTTCGGTAAGTCGCGAGGATTACTAGCCGCAGTTATACAACTGTTTATTCCAGCCTTGAAGAGGCGTTGCCGCGAGAAGATTGACAGAATCCGTGGGCCCAGTACATTGATCCATATTTACCTATGGACGAAGACCTTTCAGCCAATCCCCCTGCGTTGGGTATCCAGGCCTCTCTAAATATTTAGTGAATGTCCCCAGCACATATGCAAAGGACTCTCTAAAGTCTTACAATAGCCCTGATGGATACAAATGCATGTGTCTCATTGCTGACTGGGTTGGCACATTATCGTGTCTTGCCCAATCGAAGGAAGAAACAACAACTGTCAACAAAATTCGTTTGCAAACGTGAGGCACTCGCGCGGAGTGTTTTTGCCGAACCTGTCCATTCTTGGGTAGCTGCTGAATTACCTGGAATTGTTTTTTGGCGCACACTGCACTTGCATGGTGGGCCTGGGAGAAGCATGCTCCCATGTTGCTGCAGTGCAGTGTTGTTTTGACTGAATTTACGTTGGAGACTGAAATGTGATGTGTGCTGAATGTCAACACCTACACCACTGGGTCACTCACCAGTGGCTGGCACCGTCAATGAACACTACACGAAAATAGTGTACATGGATTTTACTTCAGCTGGGCAGAAATTGGAGCACCGTGCCCATAACCTACAAGTAGTCTCACTTCTCTTTCGCTGCCTGACTCTCTCTCTGTCTCTCTTGCTTTGCATGCCTGTCAGTGTATCCATGTGTGTGTGTGTGTCACTGTGTGTGTGTGCGTGTGTGTACGTGTGTGGGTTTTTCTTCCTTATCAGTACGAGTATGACAATGTTGACATGCGGTGGCTGGTAGCACGAAAGCTGACAAAGTCAAACACGGCCATCATCATCATTGGTCCCATGTAGCCAAAAAGTTGGTGTAGTGGCGAACTTAGTTGTCCTGATCTTAAAACACGCTGATGAATGCACATCCAATACAGCAATTGTTTTTTCCTGGTCGTCCCTCGACCTGGCATTCTCCATAAGCAGTTGCTGATTACCGGTAGAGTGTCCTCCATTACTGCCTTTGCAAGAGTTACACAAGAAGTAAGATCAAGATGATCCTCACCACAAGAAGATCAAGAAGCTGAATACATGTACCTAATTGTCCAGAAAGACAGAAGATGAGGTATACTAGTATGTGCCGCAGCAGATGAAGAACTGCACAGCGCAGCAACCAAGTGGGAAGCAGAAGAAGATTGCGCAAGTAGGTCGATCAGAGTACCGGTATTTATCCATGACAAAGGAAATACACATTGTGCAGAACATGAAGCATACACACTCGCATGGAAGAGATAATGCCGGAGTTGCACCCAGGGCCAGTACTAGACTATAGCTAGCACCACCACTGGCACCAGTCATGTAGAGGCACGTGCATAATAGAGCTGGGTACATTAGTCATTACCATCAGCATCAGCACTATCAATCATCAAACTCCAGCTATACCTTGCACCCCAACAAACTAAGTAAGTTGATAGTGTTCGGAATCATCTTCGTGTTTCCGCCTTTCCTGGTGCTGCCACAAATGAGCTGAACAAGTTAGTTAGTTAATTCGATACGTACTGGGGTGACAGGGATGATCATGACTTTTCTCTTCGCCAACGAAATGATGGAACAATATTCGTGTACTTCGAAGTATTTGCATAAGGAGCGAAGTTCTCGAGTCGTGTGTCCGTCATCCACTGGTTCCGTCGTTCTCCATCGTAGGGAAAACGATAACAACTCAAAGACGATCCAGGTGTGGGAACATCCGATCGCGAGCAGCCCTTTGGTATTCTCAAACTACAGTATGCAAAATGGAACTTCTTTCGAAAAACACTGTTTCTTTCCAGTGGAGTCTTCTTTTTTTGCCACCCAAGCTCCGTTTCAAGTCCGGTGATCGGTGGTGAACTCGATGATCTTTGGCCCGAATCCTCATAGGCCGCACGGCATGACTCATTGGAAAGTCCTCTATAGGTGCCGCGCCTCGTACTGCTCATGTGCCTCGCGCCGTACTATTGCTGTCGCTTTGCCAAATTTAGCTTCCGCTTTCCGAGCGCTGTACGCTCTTCTGTACGCTCATGCCAAAGTTGGACGCACGTTGTGGCTGGCCAGCGCTTTACCCCTCATGCGTTGTTCTTTTCCTTGATGCTGTGGTTTGTTTTCTTTAGTGTTCTAGAGTTCTCTTTCCGATGTAGTTCGTATTTTTCCAGTCTCTTCTTCTCAATGTATTCTACTGTTCATTCATTATAGTCCGTAAAGAATTACGTGACCTTTGTCTTGTGGCGTCTGTGCGATCCTGAAACTTTTGAGGTGTTAGTAGTGAACACAACATTTTGGCGACCACGCCAGGATAGAGACGCGTGAACATGGATGAGTTAGAAGCGAAGCTGATCGCAAATGGTCAAGCTTATGGCTACACTGGAGAGGCATTGCGTACTTACGTAGAGGAGCGTATCGAGAAGCACGAGGAGAAAGTGCGTGCAGACAGAGAGCGCGACGAACGAGCAGGAAGTAGATTGGAAAGGAAAGATGACGAGCAGCTGCTTGCGAGGATTGCAGATTTGGAGTTGCAAGTCCAGCACGCACGAGAGACTCAGAGTGATGAGAGCACTTTGTTGAATACGACGAATGGCAGTTTAGCGAGCAAGAGGGCTGCCATCAAGATGCCGAAGTTCGACGGTAAGCAGACTGTTGAGACCTATCTCGAACTGTTCGAGGATGTGGCAAAGCAAAACGAGTTCAGCGACGACGAGTACCTGATCCGCTTGCGCGTGGCTGTTGCTGGCAGCAAGTTGGAAGGTGCATGCTATGGCTGCAACACCTTTGCCGAAGCGAAGCGCGAGCTGCTGATGGCGCATGGGAAGACCGCCGACAAAGCGTGGCAAGCCCTGATGGCCATACAGCAGAAAAGTGATGAGAGTTTCTACCAGTTTGTGGTACGAGTGACGCGCGAGACGGAGAAGTGGGCAAAACTCGCCAGGCCTAGCCGTACCTCTAGCCGCGGACAAATCGGTGAGCTGGACGACACTGAATTGTTCGGATGTGTCGTACGTCAAGTCCTGCTAGAAGCTGTGTCGGCAGAAACTAAGGCCTTCTTGATCGAGAAGAGATGTTACACGAAGGACTTGAAGGCGTTTGCGGAGGATGGTATGGCTTACCAAACAGCCCACGGACGTAGCAAGCTGAAGCCTGCCAAGTCTAGCACCAGCGACAAACGTATACCGTTTGCGTCGGCAGAGTGTTTGACGGTCAGCGTTGATGAGGCTAACAAGAAATTGTCAGCTATGGCGTCTGAGCACCGAAACGCGTACGTCAAGGCAGAGGGACTGTGTTTCAACTGCCTGAGACCAGGACATCGAGTGATGAATTGTCAGAACAAGGGTCGTTGCAAGCACTGCAACAAGCGACACCACAGTCTACTGCACAGAGAGGACAAACAGGTAACATCCGAACCGATAGCCGAATCGAAAGTCGGTACGTATGAATGTAGTGCAAACAGCGTGCACTTGATGACCGGCGTGGCTGAGGTACAAGGACCTAGCCGAAAGGCCAGTGTACGCATATTCATCGACCCAGGTGCGCAGGCATCGTTCATCACCGCACCACTGGTGAACTCGCTGCAACCGGCACACCTTGGATCGCAAACTGTTAGGCTGAAGGCGTTTGACGTGGAGCCGAAGTTTGAAAAGATGGACAGGTACCGTGTCACCATCAAGGGTGCAACGAAGTCCATTTCCGTCAATGCCTGGCAAAAGAAGTCGCTAGGTCTCCGGTTCGATCCGTTAGCAGACAGCACAATTGCACGTTGGCAGTCACAGGGATTGCAGCTGTCTGATGACTCGACAAAGGCCGGATCAAGCGAAGTGCACATGCTGATTGGAGCTGACTACTGCAATGAGTTCCTTCTCCGCAAGGAGCAAATCAATGGAGAGACGGCCTGGCACACTGAAATAGGCTGGGTGCTGTCAGGACCGGCTAATAGTGAAACCAAGTCAGCGACCGTCAGTGTGAGTTGTATTGAACTTGACCGACTGTGGAAGATGGAAGAGGTGCCGGAAATAGCTGAGACGTTACCGGACTTCCCGATAGAGCGGCAAGGCCCTCATTACCAAGTGGGATTGCTATGGCGATCTGAGAAGCGTCCGCCAGCCAACCTAAACCAAGCGATGGCAGCGGCACACTCACTGCTGAAGCAGCTACAGAGACGAGGTCAACGTCCAGCGTATGATGACGTCCTCATCACTGAGTACTTGAAGCTGGATGCCATTGAAAAGGAACCGCATCTGGAGGAAGCCGGCTATTACATGCCGCATCATGCCGTATTCCGTAGCGACGCCTCAACGACGAAGACACGGGTCGTCTTCAATGCATCCGCCGCCTGCACCGGAGCACCATCCCTAAACGACATGGTCGATCCCGGGCCATCACTCTTACCGGATCTCACTGGTATCCTCCTCAGGTTCCGTGAGTATGAATGTGCTGTACAAGCCGATATTCGCAAGGCTTTTTTTATGATCGGAATGCGTGAAGAAGATAGGCCATATCTGCGTTTTGTTTGGCCTGAGATAGGTAGCGAAGAAATGTGTATCTGGCGTTTAAAGAAGCTGCCTTTTGGAGTGAATTGTTCTCCTTTCATACTTAGTGCGGTGCTGCGCTTTCATCTCGATAGTGCATTCGAGTCTGCTTCTGCTGCTGAGCGTGATATCATAGAGCTGCTGCTGCGTAGTTTTTATGTTGATGATTGCGTTTCTAGCTTGCCATGCTGTGCGGATGCTGAAAAGCTGCAGGAGTATAGCGTTAATGTTTTGCAGGGAGCAGGCATGGAGTTGCGGAAGTGGCGAGGGAACACGATGACCTCAGACCCCGAGGCTGGTTCCAAGGCACTGGGTATTGTGTGGAACACCGAGTCAGATTGTATTTCGGTGGCTGCGCTCGGTGATGTTGAGTGTCCCAAGGAAGTGTCTGGTTGGTCTCGTCGTGCTTTGTTGCGTTGTGTTGCCGCTGTGTTCGATCCGCTAGGTTGGGCGTCACCCGCAGTTGTGCCAGGCAAGATGATGTTGCAAGAGAGTTGGAAGCTCGGCGGTGGTTGGGATGACCCATTCCCTATTGATTTGGCTGTCCGATGTGCTTCATGGTGGGGAGAGCTCGCAGCGCTTTCTTCCGTTAAAATCCCCAGATGGATCGGGTGTACTCCAGATGCTCCAGTCACTTTGCATGTATTCTCAGATGCATCCGAGAAGGGCTATGGCTGTTGTTTCTATGTTGTGTCCGGTTTGACGTCTGCTTTGTTGTGTGCGAAGGCGAAGGTTGCACCTGTTGTACGTCCCACTCTTGCGCGTCTGGAATTGTCGGCTGTGTGTCTTGGCGTGAAGATGTTGTCCTTTGTCGTCAATGAATTGAGAGTGCCAATTGAAAGGATTGTGGGGTGGACAGACAGCCTAACCACATGGCACTGGATCTCAAAGCCGTCGTATCACTGGAAGACGTATGTTGCTAATCGAGTTGCTGCAGTGCAAGAAGTTTCGCAGAAGCTGCAAGTAGAATGGCGTCACTGTCCAGGAGTTAGCAACCCTGCAGATCTTGTCTCGCGTGGTGTCCCAGTGTGTGACTTGCAGAAGGAGATGTGGCTGCATGGTCCGTCATGGTTGAGCGATGAGTCTCAGTGGCCACCAGTCATCTCGTTTCAGAGCACCAATGAGTCCGTCACCGAAGCACGCGTGTCGGCTGTGGAGGTTGACACTCCAGTTGTTTGGCCGTGGGAGAAGTTCTCCAAGTGGCAACGAGCTCGCGGTTTGGTCGCAAGTATGCTGTCATGGCGACACAAGGGTGTTTCGCGTGCAGAATTGATTCCATCTGCTGAGTCTGTGATGTTTCGCGCCATCCAAGAGCAATGCTTCCCCAAGGAGTTGTCCCAGTTGCGGAGCAAGGAGCCACTGAAGAAGGGTTCGAAGCTGTTCAAGTTGTCTCCGTTTCTGGATGAAGCTGGTTTGCTCAGAGTTCGTGGTCGTCTGCAGGAGAGCGATCTGTCCTACGAGGT